TGCAGAAGCTGGCTTCGGTTGGTGCCGCCCACCTTCAACGTTGGGGCCCGGGGAATAGGGGTTGGCGTTGGTTAGAGACGCTGAGAGATATGGCCCAGAATAGAAGTCAGTAGCGCGATTGCTGTACGGTCTGCTTGTCGAAATCCCGTGCCTTGTAAAAAATGTCAAAGAAAAATATAAAAAATTGTACCGTTAAATGCACACAAAATTTTCGTTATTCCAGTTATCTACCACTTTCCATTCTAACTGTTTCAACTTCCGTTCACTTTGTTCTTTATCCCAATCCACCCATCCCCTGTTTTTGTTATTGTTGTGGCTATTCTACGAACCCGTGTTATATATGTATATATATATAGTAGTAGTAGTATTTCCTCAGAGGAAACTGTTTGAGGCGCTTAGTTGTATGGGAACATTCCGCGAGTATGAATTGTTTGGTGATTAGCCGCAACCCGAGCATACCGATAGGTCGGATGGTTCAGTTGCAATAGGATACGTGATGCTTGCCCAGCTAACCCAAGCGAGAACTTACACCTTATTTACAGCCGCGAAACTCGCGTACCCAGTAAACTTTGATTGTGCACAGCGTGTATGGCACCGTGTAGCAGCGTTACTGATCTTTACTGTCTGTGTTATCTCACAGCTGTACCATGCACAGAAACTGGAGCATTACGGTAACCGGATAAAAATAGGCCGGATTATTCGAATACCACTGTTTACGTCACATTGCACGAGTTTGGTTAGAAAACCGGACACATTTAGACGCCCAGTTTTAGTTATTCGCGGTTGTCCACTGGAACAATTGGTCAACCTTCATAGACTGCGTCTGTTGTACTGTTTTTCACGTCACCAAATAGATTGCCACGGCGCACGTTGTTTGTCGAGGCAGGTAGCTGGTGGTAAAGGGTCAAGCTAAGATCTGGCCTGAGGATTTGAAAACCCTTACCGGGAGATTGGATCACATGGGTCCCGTTAGGCTCCCTGAATGGTAACCCCGAGATCATTGTAACTGGTGGCTAGAGACACTGAGTGATATGTCTCAGTGTCGCGAGCAGTAGCGTTCGTGTATCTACTTTTTATCCTTTCAATCCGTTTACATCATTTTTCTATCTTTTCCTAGACTGTGCTCTCCGCATTCCGATCATCCTTGTGCTCTTTTTTTCAAATTAGCAGCCAAAAGACAGCAACCAAAACCGGCTCACCAAAGTGCATATATATGTTATAAAGACGGAAAACTGAACTGAACTTGATTTATTTAACCCATTTAAAGGAACAGTACAATTTTACCCCTTTGATCAAACTCAATAGCCAAATTAGTCAATGTTATCTTTAGAGGAGCCGTTTCGAGTGCTTTCTTTGCTCCTAATTATCCCGCTCCGACTTTCAAACCGTTTGCTTCCGTTTTCGCCCAGCAGTTAACCAACTGGAGCATTCTTTAATGGTTGCTTATGTCATTGTTTTCTTTGTCAGCGTGCGGAAGATGTACTAAATAACTGGTAATATGACGTAATTGTGACGAAAAATCCAACTGCATCGTGTCCTGTATTAACAGTTTGCATGAAAATGAGTGCAACACGAGACTTCGTTCAAAACTACCAAAATGACCAAAGAACGTGATTATTATGCATAAGTAAATTGCACCACACACGACTGAACCACTGTTATCATATATAGTTGGGCTCAAATGTGCGACAAGATGCCCCCCTTGGATAGATGCGTGAAACAGGCGATTATGGGCTGAAATTGTCTATGGACGATAGGTTCTCCATGGAGACTGGGGGATGAAAACACTACGAACCCAAAGTTACAGTGAGACATGAACGCGAATCACACTTGAACTGAATGGCTGGTTGCTGTGGGCACTGATGGTAATGGATCAGTGGGTCCTAATCTTACACACTCCGATCAACAGCCA